CACAATTTTCCCATCTGAGCTTTGTTTTATGGGACAAACCAGCTGGCACAGCAGGTCCTCTGCATTCCAGGTTACCCAAGGATTCCTTCTCTTCTCCTCTACAAAACCCTTCACTCCCCTTTCATCTCCAAATGCTGTTTGGATCGAGGATTTCCATGATTCCCAGCAGTGCCTTCCCTCTCCCTCTGGGCCTCTGCTTTGCACACCCAGCAAACACAAACTTCCTGGGAGTTTACAAAGCACAATTCCTGCCAGATGGAAAAAAAAACAAGAGGCACTTTTGGAGAGCGTTGTCTTTGCCCTGGGCAGCCCTGAATCCCCGTCCGAGCTTCCTCCGTGCCTGGAATACGCTGCCCCAATCCTGCTGGCCCGGATTCCACAGAATTCCTAATTCCCAGAGCAAAATCAGGAAGTGAAATGGTAGGACTGTCAAGAGCTGGCTGACCAGGGTGACAAACTCGGCCTGTCCACATTCCACATTCCATCCCCCAGGAACACCCGACCTGCTCCACAAGCTCCGGCACTTCCCGCTCCATTCCTTCCCCAGGGATGAAGCCATTCCAGCAGCAGCTGCTCCCGGCCCAGCCCACTGATGGGAGAAACAAGCAGGGGAAAAACCGGCAACACCATCACAGGAGGTGTTATTGATACACCCTCATCCTGCTGGGAAAGCCCTTCCTGGGTGTCTCAAACATCCCAAAACACAGAAAAACACCATTTTTCCTTGGGTCATCCTGAAAGGTGAAAGGAGAAGGTCTCTAACCTCTAAAATTCCAAAAGATATCCCGGTGCCTGGAAGGAATTCGCTCCAACTGGTTTGTTTGGATGAGTGTTGTTCCCATTCAGAGAGTGCAACAAAAACAACATTTTCCTTCACTTTCATTTCAACTCCAAGCACAAGCTGCCAAAGATTCCAGCTGTTCCAATCCCATTTTATCTTTTCAATAAATAAAAATGGTGTTAAAATAAAAAAAGGCACCTCTTAAAGTGAAACACCTGCTTCAGATGCATCCAGGGATGCTCAAAATATATCCAGAATTATCCCAGGGGACAGCTCTGGGGACTCCAGACTTGCTGATCACCTTTTGGGTGGTCCTGCACTGGGAATGATCCCTGGGAGCAGGAGATCTTTCGCACCAGCAAAGAGCTCGGGAATATTTCCTGGTTGGGGGACAAGACAAAAACTGGGATTCCTTCTTTTTGGAACCTGCTCCTGTAAAGCTTGAGGGCCCTCAGGGAGATGGATAAATTGGGATCTCTGCTCCAAAACCATCATTATGTTCATTCCATCAGCACTGGATGGCAAGTCCTGAAAGAACAACTCCATTTCTTGCTGCAGGCAAAGGACAAGTTTTTCCTGTAGAAAACGGGAAATACTTCCAAGGATGAGCACAAAGATGTGTCCACCCGGCTCATCCTCGTGTCTCCTGCTTCCAGAGTGCTCCCCATCTGCAGAGCCAAAGGATCTCCCTTCCCAGCACCAAACAAACACACTTCCCTCCTGATGGATTCACAATGGAATCAGCCAAGTCTAAGGAGAAAGTGGGAAAGAGCTCATCCTCCTCCTGATCCCATCCCAGGATGTTGTTTTTCAGAGGATAATTTCAGCTCCCTTTCTTTTAAGGGAGCTTTTACCTGTTTCCCAGAAAAAAAGGAACTCATCAGGCATGCTTCCCGACCCCAGGAATGACAGAATTCCCTGCCGACACAGCTCCCAAGGAATGTGCTCCCGGACACCCCCACAGCACAAACGTTAACAAATTCCAGGGAACAGAGAGCCTTTCTCCAGGAGAGCGGTGGAGGTGGAAGAAAGGCATCTATTGTTTTCCTGACGTCACCACCCAGCAGAGCTGAGGATTCTGGAGTTTTTGGCAGCAAAGATCTCCAACATTCCCAAAAATCATCTTCTCTCCATGAGTTGGCACCAGAGCCACCGAGAGGCCGAAGCAGGAGGGGAGCTGAGCCTGACCCAGCCCAGCACGGCTCTGCAGGAGAGGCCATGGATTGCACCTGGAGCGGGGCAATTCCCAGCACAAATCCAGGCTGCATGGAGAATGAGAAGAAACCTGAGGGGAAGGGTTTGGGAGTGTTGGTGGATGAGAAGAGAAGGATCCAGGGAGACCTGAGAGCCCCTTGCAGGGCCTTGAGGGGCTCCAGGAGAGCTGGAGAGGGACTGGGGACAAGGCATGGAGGGACAGGACACAGGGAATGGCTTCCCACTGCCAGATGGGGATACTGGGAAGCAATTGCTGGCTTGGGAGGGTGGGCAGGCCCTGGCACAGGTTGGGCAGAGCAGCTGTGGCTGCCCCTGGATCCCTGGGAGTGCCCAAGGCCAGGTTGGAGCAACCTGGGACAGTGGGAGGTGTCCCTGCCATGGCAGGGGTGGCACTGGATCATCCTTAAGGTCCCTTCCAACCCAAGCCACCCCAGCATTCCATGCTAACGTAACCAATGGCTCTGAGGCAGAAATCACATCCAACAAACCCAAATTCCCAGGGAATTCCCTGCCAACTCAGGGGAGCTGAACTCCTTGGCTGAATCCCAGTCCATGTCCTGCAGGGACAGGGAGCATCCCAGGGGGATCAGCTCCAGCCCAGCTCCTGCAAGGACAGCACACAGACATCTCCTGGAGTCCTGGAAGCAGGAATCCCCCATCCTGCCAGGGAAGAGCTGAGGGCAGCTCTCCCAATACCCCCTGGCAGGATCCAAACTTGTGAGGAGAGGGGTCAGATCCTCAACCTGCAGCTCTCCTGCCCTGCAGCTCTCCCAGCTCCTCCAAAAAACAGATGTTCCCTGTCCTTCCCAGCTGCTTTTCCCAGGGGATGTCCCAGACAGGCTGCAGTGGCTGTGGAGCAGACTGGGAGGATGGAGGAGCTGGGATCACACAGGCAGCCCCAGCTGGCTGGAATTCCACTGATCCAGAGGCTCCTCCACCTCTGTGTCTGCTCCAGTCGGGGGGGTTTGCTCTGGAAAACAGCCTGCTTTGGGAAAACTGGGATTGGAAGGGAAGGGGAGCCAAGAGGACTGGCACCTGGCAGTGCCAGGACTGCACATGAAACAAATAACACAACTTCTCTAGGGCTTGGAATTGCTTCAATTTTCCAGGCCTGGATTGTATTTTAAGAGACTTTTTTCTATTTAGGCTTGGAATTGGTCATGGAAAAATGGCATTGGAGCAACTCAGGACCAAAGGAGGAGCTCCCGTTAGCTCCGCTCTCCAAGGGTTTGGAATGGCACAAACCTTCCCTCTCCCAGCAGTTTGGCCAAGATTCCTGGAGGTGCCAGCCTGGCACTTGGACCTCCCCCTGTGGCTCCAACTGGAGCGAGCAGGGGCTGTAAACGGGATATTATCCATCTTATTCCCCCTAAACTGGTCAGGGAAGAACAGGACAAATATTCCCGGCCTGTTTTCCAGTGGTGCATCCCACAGGATTCCAGCAGGATGTGTCCCCAGGGGGCAGGCAGGGACAGCAAATCCCAGCAGACAGAGCTGCCTGGGCAATTCCCATCCTGGCAGGACATCTGTGTTCCCCTGTGCTGGGGCAGGGGGTGGCACTGGGGCATCCTTCAGGTCCCTTCCATCCCAAACCACTCTGGGATTCACACCAACACACACTTTAATCCTAAAAAAACCCCAGTGCTCTCCATCCCAAACCAGTCTGGGATTCACACCAACACACACTTTAATCCTAAAAAAACCCCAGTGCTCTCCATCCCCAAACCAGTTTTGCCACAGAATTCCCTCAGGTTCCAGCACAGACTATCCCAAAAACACGCTGTGGAAGGTACAGCCACTCCCGAGGAGGATCAGCACCTCTTCCCAGCAGGCCACAGCTGATCCCCAGGGATGGAGCAGCCCCCCCAAATCCATGGGGTGCTCCCTATCCCACATCCTGTCTCCACGACAGGCACAGCCCTCTCCAGCTCCTCTCCCTGAAAAGTTTCGGGATGAGTAGGCTGGGAAACACCTTCCCACTTAATTAAACTGCAGAGTTAATTCTGGAGTGACTCAACATTGCTCCCACCCCACGGACTCCTCCGAGTTTGGAATCCTGAGGGATTCCAGCAGCTCCTGCCCAAACCCTCCCAGCCATTCCCTGCACAGCCAGGGATTTTCCACGGCTATGGATTATTTCTGGATGTTCCTAAAAGAGAAAGCATTCCAAGGGAAAGGACTCTTCTCCCGTGGGTGGGAGCAGTTTGATCCAGAAACCTGCACCAGCCCCTCACAGCCCCCCCACCAGGGCTGAGGGGTCCCAGACCCCCTGACACCCCACTGAGGGGCTTTGGGGGGGTCTCAGCTCCTCCTCTCTCCGCTGCCAAATCCATGGGAAGGGGGGGAACCCCTCCTGCCTATCCAAGAGGGTCTCAGCCACCCCCTTATCCCCCACCAAAGGGGCTCCAGCTGCCTCCTTCCCCCTGGAAAACAGGCTGGGGGTCCCTCAGGGCTCCCTCAGGGACTGGGGTCCCCCCTTGGGGGTCCCTCAGCTCCTCAGGGGCTCGGGGGGTTCCCGAAGTCCCCCCTCAGAGGCCAGGGGGTCCCTCAGCTGCCCCTCCTGAGCTTGGGGTCCCTCCTCTCCCCCAGAGGCCAGGGGGTCCCTCAGCCCCCCTCAGGGACCGGGGGGATCCCCAGCTCCCCCTCAGGATCCAGGTGGTGCCTCCCCCCCCCTCAGGGACCGGGACCCCTCACCCCCCTCAGTCCCCCCCCACAATGACCGGGGGTCCCCGGCCCCTCCCGCACCTTGAGCGTCACATCGCAGAGCTTGCCCTGGCGCCGGATCTCGCCCATGACGCCGTAGCCGCGGCTGGGCAGGTCTCCCACCGAGAAGTGCACCAGGTCCTCGGGGTCCAGCTCGGGCTCCGCCGCCTCCAGCATCGTCCCGGCCGCGCTCGCCCCCGCCGCGCCGCGCGCTGGCCCCGCCCGGCCGCCGTACCCGCGGCGCTTCCGCCACCGCCCGGAAGCCGCCGTCGCCAGGGGGAAGCCGGAAGTGGCCGCTGCCATGGCGACCGCGGACGCCTCCCGGAGCCCCAGCCCCACCACCGGCACGGCCCGGGGGGGGACGGAGAAGTCACCGCCTCGCTCCGCAAGGGTCAGTCGGTGCTCCTGGACCGGCGAGAGCGGCCGCGCGGGCGGCATCGGTCCCCTAGGCATGGCACTCCCCCCTCCCGGCATCCCCCCCTGTTCTCCCCCCGGAACGGTTTGGGATGGAGGGAGCTTAAGGATCATCTCCTTCCACCCCTCTCACTAGCCCAGGTTGCTCCGACCTGGCCTTGGACACTTCCAGGGATCCAGGGGCAGCCACAGCTGCTCTGGGAAAGTCCCAACCCTCCCAGTTACATTTTGCACAAATTCCTGCCCAAATCTCCCCTGAGGCGTGGGACGGGAACCCCTGACTCCCAAAGCTTTGGAGAGATGGCTCGGTCCGTCTTGGGTGCAGCAGAGCAGGATCAGCTGGCCCCGGTGTGTCCAGCTGTGTCCAGGTGTGTCCAGGTGTGTCCAGCTGTGTCCAGGTGTGTCCAGCTGTGCCCAGGTGTGTCCAGCTGTGTCCAGGTGTGTCCAGCTGTGTGCTTTCCCCATGGAATGGGGTCCCTCTTTCCCTGGCAGCAGGAAGAGCAGCAGGAGGAGGTTGAGCAGCTGGATAAACAACAAGGTTCTGCCTCCTCCTTCCAGCAGGTAATCCCAGCTGGGCACAGAATTCCAGGCTGGAAAGGACCTTCAGGATCATCTCATTCCACCCCCTGCCGTGGGCAGGGACATCTCCCACTATCCCAGGCTGCTCCAGCCTGGCCTTGGACATTCCAGGGATGGGGCAGCTCCCCTGGGCAATTCCCAACCCTTGCAGATGGATTTTTCCCAAAGCCCTGCCCACCTGAGCTGGGGAAGGGGAAGCTCCCAAATTCCAAGGCCTTGGAGAGGTGGCTGAACCCGTGTCCAGTGTGGCCAAAGGGCTGGGTTTTCCCGGCTCTCCAGGGGGGTTTTTCACATGGAATGGGCTCTGTTTTCCCTGGCAGGAGGAAGAGAAGCAGAAGAAGGTTCAGGGGCTGGAAAAGCAACGAGGCTCTCCCTCCAGAACAAAGACTGATTCGAGGGTAATCCCAGCTGGGCCCGCTGGGAATCCTGGAATGCTTTGGGTGGGAAGGGACCTGAAAGCCCATCCAGGTTGCTCCAACCCAGCCTTGGACATTCCAGGGGTGGGGCATCCCCAGTTTCTCTGGAAATCCTGTTCCTTCCCATCTCCTGGTGTTCATAAACACTCCCAGGAGTCCCTGCTGTTCTCCAGCAACAGGCACTGCTGCAGCCAGGAAAATTCCACTCCTTTGGAATTTCTTCTCTCTGATTCCTGGGGAGAATTCTTCCCCAAGATTTTCCCCTTCCTCCTTTTCCCTGCTGTACTCCTTGCTTTGAAGAAATAATTCCCAACTTCTCCAGCACTGACTTTTGGGGGTTTTTTGGGACAGGTTTCCGTGATCTCCAGGAGATCCCAGGCCCGGGAGGAGGAGGAGGAGGAGGAGGAGGAGGAGGAGGAGGAGGAGTGGACCAGCAATTCCTCTCTGCTCTCTGGTGGTGACACTTCCAGGTATCCCCCAAATGTTTGAAATCCAACAAGTCTTGGTCCAGCTCCAACCTCCACCTTTCATTCCAGAGCAGGGAAAACGGTGGAGAGATCCCCAAAACCCTGAATGTGCAAGAAATTCAGAAGATTTTGTCCCAGACTAGAAGTTATCAGTAATTATTACACAATTATCGAGCGCAGGATGTCGGGAGGGAATAACTGAGCAGGGAAAATGCAGGATCTGCACCTTCCAGGGATTCCCAAATATTCAGTTCACCTGTCTCAGGTGGGGCTTTAGCAGCTGGATCATCCCTGAGTCCTCCTCAGCTGGGTTTCCCTCAGCAGATCCTCCAGCCTGGCTGGATATTTCCTGCAGGAAACTGAAGTTTGGGTGTTTTTTAGGAATTTAAAATATTAAAAAACAACAACAAAAATCAAACAAAAGAAAATCCCCCTCCTATTCCTGCAAATACTTTCCTTTGCAAACCTAAGAGGAAGAAAATTGTGTTATTAAACACTCCTGTGCCTGGTACACAGGAGGAAATGAGGATAATCAAGACCCTTCTCCCTTCAGTTTTCCAGGCAGGACGAGGCTGGAAAGGATTCCCAGCAGCTCTTTGCTTTTGATAAAGAACAAAAACTGCAGCTGAACCTTCAGCAACACTTAATGTCTCAATTTGGCTGCTCTGGAGTTCTCCTTTGTCCTGACAAATGGTATAAATGGCATTTTGGGGAATGCAGCATCCTTACTGTGCTGGTTTTTCCCTCTCTGTTTAGAGCAATAAAACCAGTCCAGGCCTTCGTGAGGGTCAAGCCCACGGCTCATTTTGCCCAGGACATGATCAAGTTTGGGGCAGACAACAAGGTAGAGTGAAAGAAATGCCGAGTGGGAATGGTTTGGAGTTTGATTTCAGCTTTGCCCATGGAAAAGGCGGGATTTTCCCATCCCTTTAAGGCCATGGAGAACGTTTTGGGGCGTGTTGGTTCCCCTGTTCCTGCCTGACAGGGGTTTGGACTGTGGAAAACGCCCTTCTGGTGTCCAACCACCAGGAAACCCCTCAGAAGGGCAGGGACTGACTGATCCAGGAGGAATTGCCGTGGTAACCACAGTTTGGCACAGTGCTCCTGTTCCCCCTGTGCAAGTTCCTCCCTTCACCTTCTCTTGCCTAATTCAGACACAAAATAATTGGTATTTAAACTGATGAGCTTAACCACATTTTTTTTTCTCTATTTAGAATAATTACCCCCAGAAATTTGAGGGTATTGCCAGGTATTTTTAGAACATCCATAACCACCCAAGGGAGTAAAATAATCCTGGTGTTTGTGCTCCCTTTCCTACTTCATTCCGGGTCCTCCATCCCTGGAGCTCCTCAGGGCTGCTGGGTTGACCTCCCTCTCTTTTTGGGGTTGCAGAGCATCGACATCCACATCGAGAAAGATGCCAGGGGAGGGACTGTGAACAACTCCTCCACTGACTGGTCCTTCAGGATGGATGGGCTTCTCCACAACACCTCCCAGGACCAGGTCTATGAGGCTGTGGCCAAGGACGTGGTGGCTGAAGCTTTACGTGGCTGCAATGGTGATTTGTTGCTGGTTTTTGTTATTTTGGTAATAATTAGGGGTTTGGTTTGAGGGCAGATCCATTGGCTGTTCAGTTTGAGGCTCCCTCCCTGGGTTTATCCTTTTGCTTTGGGATTTTCCAGGCACCATCATGTGTTATGGGCAAACTGGGGCTGGTAAAACTTACACCATGACTGGAGCAACCTCTGAGTACAAGCACCGAGGGATCATCCCCAGGGCTCTCCAGCAGGTACTGGATCTGGGAAGAGGGACTGGGAGGAACACCAGGGACACCTCTTGGATCAGCTCTCGCTGATATAGAAGTGTTCTAACACAGTCAATATGGTTTATGTCATTTTTTCCCCTTTCATTTCACCCAAGGGATGAGGATTAAAGAAGTAAAGCAGCTTTGCTGCCCTTCACAGAGGTTTAGTGGACAATTCTCGCTGCTCCTCAAAGCTCCCCAAGCCTTCAAAAGGGGTGTTTGCCAAGCTATCATTTTGTCAAATCCTGTTCAAACTGATCATAAAACCACTAAGGTTGGAAAATACCTCTAAGGCCCTGGCACAGGTTGGGCAGAGAAGCTGTGGCTGCCCCTGGATCCCTGGCAGTGTCCAAGGCCAGGCTGGAGCAACCTGGGCTGGTGGAAGGTGTCCCTGCCCATGGCAGGGGTGGCACTGGGTGATCCTTCAGGTCCCTTCCAGCCCAAAGCATTCCAGGACTCTCTGATTCCATTGGATCATGGAATCCAAATCCAAGTCAAGCCCTCAAGCAACCACAGCTCAGATTGAGCTCCACACACCCAGATGTACTTGGAGCTGCTCAGAAACATCTCTCTATAAATATCTCTACATATCTTATGTACATTTATAGCTTATATATAAATCTTAATATCTTCCATCTATTTATACCTTATATCTATTTATATCTCACATCTATTTTAGTAATACCTATTTATATCTTATCTCTATTTAATCATATCTATTTTGATCTTCTATCTATTTCTATCTCACATAAACATCTACATATAAATATCTTCTCTGGAAAGCCATAAATAGGTAAAAATCCTGTCTGTGATCAGAGACAATCTCTGTGTCCCTGTGCAGGTGTTTAAAGCAGCTGCAGGATCCCTCACTCTCTCCATCAGAGTCCGAATTTCCTACCTGGAGATCTACAACGAGGCCCTGTTTGACCTGCTGTGCCCGGGGCTGGGCCGTGGCTGCAGGAACCCCCCCCTGGCTGTGCTGGATTCCCCTCGGGGGGTTCACGTCAGGGGTCTGTCCATCCACCCTGTCAGCCACGAGGAGGAGGCCCTGCACCTCCTTTTTCAGGCGAGAGAACCCAAATGTTGCCCTCCTTCTCCTCATTATTCTGTTGGCTGAGGGAGCAGGCAGGAGAGCAGGAGCTGTGTGGCCAGGAGGGAGGGTCAACCAACACTCTTGGTTCTCCTGGTTGTGGGTGGGACAACTTGGCAGCCCTCGTTCTTCCAAGGAAAATGTCCCTGGCATGGGGATTCTGGGAGGTGCTCCAAGAAAAGGGTGTTTGGCAGATAGTTTGGGGTGGTCTGGTTGGATTTTACAGCAGGACCCTTCACACAAGGGGTGGGATTTGTGAGGGGAGTTTGATTGCTTGGATCAGCATCTTTTCCTTGTGGGTCCTTCAGTTCACGGGGAAACCAGGAATGAAGAGTTGGATCTGGAAGCAGGAAGTGTGTTCTCACCCAGAGCCACCTGGTGTCCTTAAAACCTTTCTCTGGCCTTTGTAACGACAGGCCTGAGGTGTCCTGAGCTCTGGAACATGCTGGAAATCCCTTTTTAAGGAGCAGAAGGATGCTGATGGAGGCTGGGATTGCTGGGGTTGTTCACCTGGAGAAGGGAAAGCTGCTGTTCTGCAGGAAACTCAAAGAGCTAGGGAGATGTTCCCTGGCTCTTCCTCAAAAAGCCACAATTCCATGAGCTGAGCCTTGAATTTTGTCTCCATTTGCAGGGTGAGACCAACAGAGTGATTGCAGAGCACGCCCTGAATAAGAATTCCTCCAGATCCCACTGCATCTTTACTATTTATCTTGAGGTGAGAGCTCCAGGGGTGTTTTCAGGGATTCAAACAGCTTTTTGGGGACTAAAAAAAAGGACCTTTGCAGTCAGTTTTTTTCCTGGGTTTCAGTTCAAGTGCAGTTTGTATCCTGTTCTCCCTCAGTGTCGTTCCAGAACCAACACAGATCTCAAAGGCATTAAATCCAAAATCACCCTGATAGACCTGGCAGGTTCCGAGAGACTGAGCAAGATCACGGTGAGTGCTGGGAACTCCTCGGATCCCACGAGTTCTGAGCCCTCAGGACAGGACACTGAGGGCCTGGAGAATGTGCAGGGAAGGGAAGGGAGCTGGGAAGGGGCTGGAGCAGCAGGAGCAGCTGAGGGAGCTGGGGGGGCTCAGCCTGGAGAAAAGGAGGCTCAGGGGGGACCTTCTGGCTCTGCAATCCCTGACAGGAGGGGGGAGCTGGGAGGGGTCAGGCTCTGCTCCCAGGAAAACTTATTCCTGGGAAGGGCTGTCCAGCCCTGGCACAGATGCCCAGGGCAGGGGTGGAGTCCCCATCCCTGGAGGGATTTAAAATCCACGTGGATGTGGCACCTGGGGACGTGGTCAGTGGTGGCCTTGACAGTGCTTGGTTGGTCTCGGTCTCAGTGGCCTTTTCCACCCTCAACCATTCCCTGATTCCATAACATTCTGTATTGACCAGAATTTAAATTGCACCAGCCCTGTGACAAACACACCCTTTGGGAAGGAAATCCAAGTCCTTGTAGACTTGTAATGAAAAACTGAGGTCTCTGAAAACTCCTTTTCAAACTGGGGAAAGCTCCAGATCATGAATTTGCTGGAGCTGAATCAGCTCCTGACCCTCGGAGTTTTTTTTTTTTTTTTGGATAAGGAATCTGCTTTTTCCTGCTGTTTGGCCAGAAACACGTGATGGAAACTTCCTCTTCTGATCTGCCTTGCAGGCTGCAGGACAGCTCCAGAGAGAGAACTCCTACATCAACAGGTCCCTGACGTTCCTTGAGCAGATCATCCTGGCCCTGGCTGATCCCAGGAGGGGCCACATTCCCTTCCGGCAGAGCAAACTCACTCACGTCCTCAAGGACTCTCTGGGTAAGGGCTGGGCCTCCCAGCAGCCCCAGAGGGCTCTGAAAATGCTGTTTCTATGAAGTCCCAAGGCCATAATTTATCATGGAGTGGTTTGGGATGGAAGGGACATTAAAGCCCACCCAGTGCCACCCCCTGCCATGGGCAGGGACACCTTCCACTAGCCCAGGTTGCTCCAACCTGGCCTTGGACACTTCCAGGGATCCAGGGGCAGCCACAGCTCCTCTGGGAATACTGAAAAACACAGCCTTTATAAACTCCTGGAAATGACAGTTTTTATTCCCATCTTTCCATGGCATCGTCACTCCATGGGAAACACAACTGACCTTTATTTTGGAGTCACTCTGTGCCCTTTGGAGGGGCAGTCCCACTCTGGCTGTGTCCTTCGGGCTTCTTCAAATGAAAGTGGCTTCAGGGGGAATACTGGGAAGGAATTCCTGGCTGGGAGGGTGGGCAGGCCCTGGCACAGCTTGCCCAGAGAAGCTGTGGCTGCCCCTGGATCCCTGGGAGTGTCCCAGGCCAGGTTGGAGCACCCTGGGATAGTGGGAGGTGTCCCTGCCCATGGCTGGGGGTGGCACTGGATGATCCTTCAGGTCCCTCCCATCCCAAACCATCCTGAGATTCTGTGATTCCTCCCTATTTTAAACAGCACATCATATATTAAATTCCAGAAAAGCAAACAACAGCATCCCTCAATTCTATTCTTCACTTTATTTTTATTATTACTTTTTTTTTTCCCCAGGGGGAAACTGCAACACTGTCCTGGTGACCAACATCTGTGGGGAAGCTGCTCACGTGGGAGAGACGGTGAGTTGAGGGGATTCCTGCAGGATCCAAGCCTGGTTCCTGCTGCTCCTTGGTTTAAAGAACAGCCCCTGGAGGGTGCTGGCAGGGAAATGTCCTGCCTGATTCATCCCAAACGTTGGGAAGCTCATCTTATCCCAAGGGCTCAGGAAACAGACTGAGGAGAGTCTGAAACAGGGCAGCTCAAATTTGAGCTCGCTGGGGAGTGTTAATTATCATTATTATCCAGCTCTGATGGGTTTCCATGGGACAGCACAGAATGGGCTCGCTGGAATTGCACCAGTTGACAGCAGAGCTGGGTCAGGAATCAGGAGGAACCTCCCAACAGGTTGGTTTTTAACCTGTGAAACGATAAAACCAGGGAAAACCTCCCTTTGTGAACAGAATTGGCTTCACCACATCTATAAAACACAGGAGGGGATCCCTTGGAGCAGGGAAATAGATTTTAAATGGATTAAAATTAAACAGGTAACTGGATTTTATATTTTCACGTCCTTGGATCTGACACAGAGCAGTTAAATAATTTCATATCTCTGTGTCCTTGGACCTGATTTAATGAAGCAGTAACAGGTCTGGAAAATGATCTCCCTGCCAGTACCTCTTTCAGTTCCTTGAAATCCTTGTTTTCCAGCTGTCTTCCCTTCGCTTTGCCACCAGGATGAGGTGGATCACAGCAGAGCCGCTTCCCAACGTGACCTTTGACCGGGAGGTACGGAAAGAACGGGAGTGGAGGAAGGAATTTCGGCTCAAATTCATTAATATTTAGGGTAATAACCTTAAAAAAAAAAAGAAGCAAATTAGGCAGTTCCATAAATTATCCCTTCTCAGCCAAGCTGACATTGCTAATTTTAGGTGGATGATAAAATGGATTAATATTAAACTTTTTTAATAGGTATTCAGTTACCTGAGAGGGAACAGCCATTTGTAGTGGGTAAATATTCCCTGAAATGTGGGAATTCTTTCAGCTGCATATGAATCCCTATTTTTTCTGATGAGATTCACCTCTCAACAGAGCTATTTTATTGTGCATTACTCCCCTGATATGTGGGGAAATCATCCCAGTCCTACCTGCAGCTTTACAGGTCGTTATCCCCATTCCTGCTGGTGAAGTAACATCTTCTCCACAACAGGAAAACTTGGGTAAAGAAGGAAATAATTTAAAGAATTACTTCAAGAATAATTTCAGGACAAGGATCACAAGGTTTTAGGTGTCCTGAGGGCACTTTCACAGCTGGAGGAGTGGAAAAAACCCAAACCAGAGCAGCTGAAATTGGAGTGTTGAAGGAAACGGTGCTGCCATTCCAGCTGGGATATTCTCCAGCAGCCAGTTCTGTGCTGCTTTTAGGTGGGTTTTTATCCCACTCCAATACAATCTGGTGATTTGCTCCCCCTTTTTTTCCCTGTTAGGTGTCAGTGAAGGCTCTGGAGGAGGAGATTGAACTCCTGAAGCAGGAACTGGCCATGCAGGACATGTTTGTAAGGATCACTTAACCCAGTGTCCAGTGGGATTGGGATCTTCCTTCTGCTTCCAACACCATCTTTTGGGCTTTAGGGGAACCTGGAGATCCCACACGGGGAGGTTTTGTTGTAACTTCACTCCTGAGCCACTGCAGGTGTTTTTTTAGGGCTCTTGAAGCCCTTCTGTTGCTGTTTGGAATGGGAGGGGGAGTGTTTGATTCCCAAATCCTGTCTCCTGCCAAGTCAGGTGACGAAAATCACAATCAGAAGTGGGCACAGTGATGTCAGGTGTTTGCCACAGTGGTGGAATTATGGAGTTCCAGGCTGGTTTGGGTTGGAAGGGACCTTAAGGATGATCTAGTCTCACCCCCTGCCCTGGGCAGGGACACTTCCCACTATCCCAGGTTGCTCCAAGCCCCGTCCAACCTGGCCTGGAACAGTTCCAGCTTCCCAGGACAACCTGTGCCACCCTCCCAGAGAAGAATTCCTTCCTTAAATCCAGTGGGAATCTCCCCTCTTTTAGTTTCAAACCATCCCCCCTCATCCCACCCCGACAGGCCCTGCTCAAAGCTTTGTCTCCGTCGTGCTCCTCTCTCCCCCACACCTGGTTGTAACTCCCTGATCCTCAGTTCTCCACCTTTTGCTCCTCAGGCAAATCATTTTTCCGGGACTTACAGCCCCCTGAGTGGTGCCCAGAGAGCAGCAATTAAATCCCAGGTCCACAAATACCTGAGAGGAGCCATTGAGGAGATCGATGTAAGTGGCTTTCTGGTGAAAAAGGACTGAAATAGTGATTCCATCCCATTTTCCTGCAGGAAGGCACAATGGAAGTGTCTTCTGAAGAGGCTTTTTTTGGTTTTTTTTCACCCCAAAAGCACTACAGAACTGTAATTTAACTTCTTTTTTTTGAATGTTTGGAAGCTTGAGGACAATTTTCCTCAGCCCTAAAACCCTTTAAATTGGTTTATTTGGAACACCCTTTAAAGAATGAATACCAAAATTGCTGGATTTATACCTCTCTCTTCCTCAGATAGTGAGCATCCAGCAAATCCAGGAGGTGTTTAAACAGTTCAAAGTGATTGTAAGGTAAGATCATGGAATTCCAGGATGGTTTGGGATGGAAGGACCTTAAAGCTCATCCAGTTCCACCCCTCAGTGGGCAGAGACACCTTCTCCAGGTTGCTCCAAGCCCCATCCAACCTGGATTAAAGGTGAATGGGAATGAGCAGAGTTAATGTGATTTAATCTGGACCATACCTATGGAAAGTGTAAAAATATCCCCAGAAAAAAAGCTTCAATATCCAAGAGACCCGAAGGGATGTGATGGAAAAGGAGAGGAAGAGAGTGGAGAAAGGTCCTGATGGTTGTGGGATAAAGGTCCTGATGGTTGTGGGAAGCATGGAAGGGGCAAGGGGGGGGGGTTGGGGATGAGGCCAAAGGGAGAACAGGGGGTTTTCTTCGGAAATCTGATGCTGGCAGGATGCCAGGTTTGCCCATGTGGACTGTGATGCTTCAGGAGCTGTTCTCTCCCCCAGTCAGCAGCAGGAGGAGGTGGAGGCCAAGTTGAGGAGCAGATACATTCTGATTGACAAGGGGGAGTTCCCTGCTGGGGCCAGGCCTGTGTCTGACTTTGGCTCTGATTTCGGTTGGCTGCTGGAAGATGATGAGGAGGAGGAGTACAAGGAGGATGAGGAGGAGGTAATGCCTGGCCCAGAATCCACCTCAGAACTGGCTCCTTTGCTGCCCAAATGGGAATTGCCTCAAGTTCAGCTTTTCCCTGTTGAAAACAAACTGACAAATGATCATGGGCTGGGATTTGGCAAAAAAATGTGCCCAGAGCAGAGATGCACCAGTTAATAAAGATGAACTCCTGTCAGCAGAGGATTGGGCCCATTATCTGACCTTAACCTACTACATGGGCATTAGAAACCAGGATGGTTTGGGTTGGAAGGGATCCTAAAAATCATCCAGTGCCACCCCCTGCCATGGGCAGGGACACCTCCCACTGGCCCAGGTTGCTCCAGTGGCCTTGGACACTTCCAGGGATCCAGGGGCAGCCACAGCTTCTCTGGGCAACCTGTGCCAGGGCCTGCCCACCCTGACAGACAGGAATTCCTTCCCAGTGTCCCATCTAAACATTCCCCCTGGTCCTATAAAATAGAAACTAGAAGGTGCCCTGTCTGGATCTGAGTTGTAGAAGGTGAGGTCAGATCACCTGGCTCTGCTGGGCTCCCTCTTTTAATCCTCATAATTTCTGGAGCCAGGGATATGTATCACCCATAGGCCATAAATCCTGCTGTGGACTCCAACAGGGAGGGTTGAATTTCCAGGTCAATGGGATGGCAGAAATTTCCAGATCAATGGGAAGGCAGAGCTGCTGGGGAAGGGCTGCTCAGCTTCCCTGGTGCTGCCAGATGGTTTCTTCCTTTCTGTCCCCAGGGAGGTGTGGGTGATTTGGAGGATGGTTTGGTGCAGGAAGTGGAAAAGCTGCAGAAGGAGGCTTTGGAGCCTGGAACTTCCTCTTCCTCACCCGTTCCCGGGGACAAGAAGGACGACAAGAAGAGTGATGAGCAGACCAAGTGAGTTAAAAAGCACCAGACAGTTCTTCCTGTTCTCTGATAATCATGGAATCAGGGAATTGTCAAGGCTGGGAAAGCCCTCTGAGGTCATCAAATCCAGCTGCTCCCCCAGCACTGCCAGGGCCACCACTGACCATGTCCCCAGGTGTCACATCCACAGGGCTTGGAAATCCTTCCAGGGATGGGGAGGGCAGCCTCTGCCAGGGCTGGACAGCCCTTTCCAGGAGGAATTTTCCCACTATCCAAAATAAATCTCTCCTGGCACAGCCTGAGGCCGTTCCCTCTCCTCCTGTCCCTGTTCCCTGGGAGCAGAGCCCGACCCCCCCCGGCTCCCCCCTCCTGGCAGGGATTGCAGAGCCAGAAGGTCCCCCCTGAGCCTCCTTTTCTCCAGGCTGAGCCCCCCCAGCTGCCTCAGCTGCTCCTGCTGCTCCAGCCCCTTCCCAGCTCCCTTCCCTTCCCTGCACACTCTCCAGCCCCTCCAGGTCTTGTCCTGAGGACCCAGAAGTGCCCCAGCATCTGAGGTGTAGCCACACCAGAGCTGACACAAACCAGGTGCCATCGGCCTCTTGCCCACCTGGGCACACCTGGGCTCGTGTCCAGCCTGTGTCACCAGCACCTCCAGGTCCTTCTCCAGCTGCTCTTCCCCACTCCTGGAGCACTGCAGGGTTGTTGAGACCCAAGGGCAGGACGTGGCACTGGGCAGTGCCCGGCTCTGGTCAGGCAGGGATGGGCAGGGGATGAGGCAGGGAGGGAGCTGGCAGAGGAGCAGGGAAGGAGGAGAGATTTGGGGAGGGAAGGGGGAGCCAGCCAGTGCTGAGCAGAGAAAGATCCTTCCATTTACAGAAGTAAATCCCTGCTTGGTTCCTTGCTGACATTTCCCCAAAGTCCCCATGTCAGGGACACAGCAGCTCTGGTTCCACTTCCCTCTGATGAAGCAATTAATTAATCTGGTTCATCTTTTCCACCCTGGCAGGAAGGAAAAACTTGTGAGCCCTTCCCTGGAAAGGGAAGGTTCTGCACCACCAGAAACTCAGGAAGAAAGTCCCACCAAGGATGTGGATGAGGAAGAGGGAGCAAGTGAGCAGGATAGAACAGATAGTGAGAGAGAGCTCTCAATCTCCTCCTCAGGGGAGGAGTTCCAGCAGCCCAGGTAACCCTGGAGGGGAGTAGATCCCCTTTGCCAGGTGGTGTTTCCTCTGGAGGGACCAGTCTGTGTTCCCTGAGTACAACTACAGAGCAAACAGCAGGGACTGGGGGATCTTCAGTGCTTGGATGTAGAAATACAGGACAGGAATGGTTTGGGGAACACCCTGAGCACCCCGTTATGTCGATGGGGGTGGTGACCTCTGTGTGCTTTGAGTTCTGTCCTGGTCAGTTGGACTTTTAATTGGAGAGTCTCCAAAAATTACAGCATTCCTTCCCCTTTGGTTAACAGGAAAAGTGCAGAGACACCTCATGTCAGCCACAAACCCCCCCAGTCATGGAAATGGGTCCTTGCAATCAGAGAATCATGGAATGGTTTGGGTTGGAAGGGATGTTAAGGATCATCCAGTGCCACCCCTTGCCATGGGCAGGGACACCTCCCACCAGCCCAGGTTGCTCCAACCTGGCCTTGGACACTTCCAGGGATCCAGGGGCAGCCACAGCTTCTCTGGGCAACCTGTGCCAGGGCCTGCCCACCCTGACAGCCAGGAATTCCTTCCCAATATCCCACCTATCCCTGCCCTCTGGCAGTGGGAAGCCATTCCCTGTGTCCTGTCCCTCCATCCCTTGTCCCCAGTCCCTCTCCAGCTCTCCTGGAGCCCCTTTAGGCCCTGCAAGGGGCTCTCAGGTCTCCCTGGCTCCTTCTCTTCTCCAGGGGAACCCCCCCAGCTGTCCCAGCCTGGCTCCAGAGCAGAGGGATCCAGCCCTGGCAGCAGCTCCGGGGCCTCCTCTGGACTCTCTGCAGCAGCTCCACGTCCTCCTGCTGCTGTTCCCAGGGCTGGGGCAGCTCTGCAGGGGGGTCTCAGAGAGGCACAGGGGCAGGATCCCCCTGCCCTGCTGTGGGCTCAGGCTGTGTGTTCTGGGTGTCACAGTGGAACTGTCACAGGAGAATGTGCTCCTGCAGCTCCTCAGCACATTCCCTGTGCTCCTCCGTGCCCTCCACACGTACCGAGTGTTCCCTGAAATCCCTGCAGTTGGCAGGAGGAGCTGCTGCAGCTGCAGCTGCACAAGGCACATCCCACAGCAATTCCAGCAGCTTGGAGCTGGCTGTGGGAGCAGGAGCTGTGGCAGTTTGCCCAGTGGCTCTTGTTTACAGCCCTCTGCCAGGAGTTTGGCCCGGGAATGGCGTCCCACAGTCCTCGAGGAGCTGGAAAATGCCCTTAAGAGGTCGGTCAGGGGATGGCAGCAGTCAGAGCTTGGATTTGCCCAGGCTGGACCGGGGAATGTGGAGGGTTCCTGGGTTGGATTGAGATGATCCTTAAGGTCCCTTCCAACCCAAACCATTCTGGAATTCTGGGGTTCTGCCTTCTGCTGCCACATCCATCCTGCTCTCCAAAGAACCTCCTGCAGCACCCACAGGGTGATGTTTTCCCCCCTCCTGCCCCGAGTGGTTCCTGTTGGAATAAGAGCTGGTGTTCCCGGGGGCATCTTGGCATCAAGGCCTTTTCATGGGAAAGTCGGGAGTGACACATCCCACTTGGAATTCAGACTTTCTGAGCAGGCAGGGCTTCAAAGCCGTGGCAGCAGCACTGTGGGGCTGGCAAAGCAGGGAGCTCCAGGGTTTGGTTAGCAGAGGTGGCTGATCCACGCTGGGAATCCGGCAGGGAAAGAGCAAAGGCATTTGTTTAACAATACGGAGGAACAATACCCATTATTTTTGTGGAAACTCAAGCCATTAGGGGCCTGCTTTCCAGGGAATACTGAATTCTGAGGCATCTCCTGAGGAATATGGTGTCTGCTCTGGGAGCATCCTGGGGGGCAGTGGGTTTGGAGGTTGGCACGGGATTGATGCTGGAACAGAGAGATCCTCAGGGAGGATCCCAACAAACCTCATCCATGGCCATTCCCAAGGATGGTGAGGCAGCTTAAATCCTGGGATCAGGTTTGGGGTCCCCAGGTACAGAACACTGAGGGGCTGGAGCGTGTGCAGGGAAGGGAAGGGAGCTGGGAAGGGGCTGGAGCAGCAGGAGCAGCTGAGGGAGCTGGGGGGGCTCAGCCTGGAGAAAAGGAGGCTCAGGGGGGACCTTCTGGCTCTGCAATCCCTGACAGGAGGGGGGAGCCGGGGGGGGTCAGGCTCTGCTCCCAGGGAACAGGGACAGGAGGAGAGGGAACGGCCTCAGGCTGTGCCAGGAGAGATTTATTTTGGATAGTGGGAAAATTCCTCCTGGAAAGGGCTGTCCAGCCCTGGCACAGTGGTGGAGTCCCCATTCCTGGAGGGATTTCAAAGCCCTGTGGATGTGGCACTTGGGGACATGGTCAGTGCTGGCCTTGGCAGTGCTGGGGTCCAGTTGGACTCGGTGATCTTGGAGGGCTTTTCCAACCTCTCCAATTCCCTGATTCCCTGATTCTGTGCTGCAGAGCAGAACAAAGTGACCTCCCCACATCTCTCTCTGGTTTCAGCTTCCCCCCATCCAAGGAAGAGGCGTTCGAGCTGTTCAAGCAGGGGGCTGGCAGGGAGATCAGCAGCATCTTCAGGGACAACAAGAACATCCTCCTGGCCAGGCAGAGGAGCAGCAATTCCGTGGCACGGAGGATCAACGAGGTCAGGCGGGAGATGGAGGGACTCAGGCAGGCCCTGCAGGGGAAGAAGCGGAAGCGGTGGCAGGAGGGTGAGTCCCTGTGGCCAACAGGGATGTGGCAGAGGGAGGGAGCTCTTGGCTTCGAGGAGTTTTGGGTGGTGAGACCACTAACCCAGCACTGCTGGTTGCCAGGGCAGCAGGACAGGCTGGGCTGTCACCTGAGTCCTCCTCACTTCACTGAGCTGAGCTGAGCTCCTCAGGCTTTACCCTTGGGATATTGGAAAGGAATTCCTGGCTGGGAGGGTGGGCAGGCCCTGGCACAGGTTGCCCAGAGCAGCTGTGGCTGCCCCTGGATCCCTGGAAGTGTCCAAGGCCAGGCTGGAGCAACCTGGGCTGGTGGGAGGTGTCCCTGCCCGTGGCAGGGGGTGGGACAAGATGAGCTCTGAGTTCCCTTCCACCCCAAACCATTCCGTGATTCTCAGTAGCACTGGTTTAACTGTCCCAAAGCACTGACCAGGATTTAGCCTTTGAATCCTTTCCCACAGCTTCCCTGGGATTTTTCCCGTGGGATCCAAGTGAGCCCCTCCTCCAGGCTGTGCCCCCTGTCCCTCCCCTCTCCCCTCCCCAGGGATATCCCTCTCCTTTTCTCCCCTCCAGGGGAATACACGGACGAGAAGGGCCAGGTCATCATCGATGAGAAGGAGTTCTCCCTCATCCTGAGGCTGAAGGAGCTGAAGGAAGAGCACAAGGCTGGTTATGCTGAGCTGCAGGACCTCAAGGCAGAGATCCAGTACTGCCAGGAGCTGGTGGATAAGTGCAGGAGAAGGCTCGTCTTGGGTATGGATCAGCAGGCTCAGCAGCCTCTGGGTACATCAGACTGGAGCATTCACAAGCATCACCCAATCCCAGAATGGTTTGGGTGGGAGGGGACCTTAAGGATCATCCCATTCCACCCCCTGGAATGGGCAGGGACACCTGCCACTATCCCAGGCTGCTCCAACCTGGACTGGGACACTTCCAGGGATGGGGCATCCACAGCTGCTCTGGGAAATCCATTCCAGTCCCTTCCCACCCTCCCAGCCAAGAATTCCTTCCCAATATCCCATCTCTCCCTGCCCTCTGGCAGTGGGAAGCCATTCCCTGTGTCCTGGCACTCCAGGCAGTTCCCATCCTTTGTTGTCCTTTTCCCTGTTCCCTTCTAGCCCAGATTTTATCGCTTGTTAAGTGGCTTTTCTCTCTGTCCTGGCACTGAATTCCTGCAGCTTCTCTCTCCCAAATAATGACACCCTGCTCCGTGGTCACTCCAGTAGGTGCAACGCTGGGACAAAGCTTTCCACCAGGAATTTACCAGCAGTGCTCCCACTGCTGCCCCTGCACCTCCTCCCTGGTTTTCTGTCCCAGAGGTGGTGGTTAAGGAGTTGCCCTGGGACAGGGCTCTGGCTCCACATTCCAGGTGGATCCTCCTCCCCCTGGGAGCTCCAGGTCCCAGAGCTGCAGCCTTGGCAGGGAGCAGAGCTCGGTCACTCCTCTGGGAGGGATCCCTGTGAATTCCTGGTGTGTTCCACGTGTGCATCTGTGCATTCACTCCCCCTGCTGTATCCCTGGATTTGCCCTCCCTGTACAAAATGCCAGAGTCCCAAACATTTGGATGTTCTGCACATGGCAACACTTGATTTCTACAAACGTGCCAGGGCACAGCTTGGATCCATCAGAGCATCCCACGCTGGAGGAAATGCCAGGGATTGTGCCAGGGATGGACAGGGCCAAATCCTAACTGAGCCACTGCTTCCCGTTGGATCCGGGTTTGGCACCTCTGGGCGTTCCAGATGTTTATTCAAATGTCCAAGACTCTCCCTATCAGCAGTGCAGTGCCTGGGAAATGCCTGGGATTAATAAGGACAGAATTCCCACCTGCTGTCTGTTGTCACGGGCTATTATGGGATGGCAAGTGGCTGTGCTTGAGCGGGTGGGATTGAAACCCGAGCCCCAGCCGTGCTGACCATTCCAAAGGAATGATCCCCATCCATCCACGGGCTGCAGGAGTGGTGCCATCTCGTGGCCAGGGAATGTCCCCAGGAGCAGCCACCACCTCCAGCACAGCCCCCAGCGCCCTTAAATCAACTTTTCTGAGAGTTTCAACTCAAGACCTTGGAATTCTGAGCTCCCCTCTGAGGGTTTAAGAGCACTGAGATCCCTCCTGATCCACAGGCAGGGAGAACCATCCCCCTGCCGTCCCTCGGGTTGTTACAGCCTGTGAATGCCCCCCCTGTGCCTTGCAGAGTTTGAGATCTGGTACAACGAGGCCTTCCTCATCCCTGAAGATGTGCGGGAAGCTCTGAGGCCCGGTGGGAGCATCCGGCCTGGAATGGTTCCCATCAACAGGGTCCTGTGCCTGGTGAGTTGGCTCTGCTCGTCCTCCTTGGTGGGTGATGAGGGGACCAGGGAGGAGGAGGAGGAGGAGGAAGGGGAGGACCTGGTGCTCTGTGAGGCAGAGGGGGACTGGCTGTCTGGAGCCACATCCATTTACAGGCTAAAACAGGACAGTGACCGAGGGACCTGGGAATGTGGAGTGTCAGGAATCGGGCGAAGTGCCCGGAGCTGGAGGGTGCTTGGGAGCCTGCTTTCCAGCCTGCTTTCCAGCCTGCTTTCCAGCCTGCTTTCCAGCCTGAGGGATCCAATGCTTGCAGCCAGACTATTGTGTTTCCTTTTGTGGCAACTGGGACTGGGCGAGGTCTCTGCCAGGAACCACCGCTTTGGGTGCCAGGGCCTTTCCTGATCCTGAAAAAGCACATTCCTGTAAAATTCTCATTTCCCAAAATTCCTGCATCCCCCCAGCGTGGGCAGCAGGGCAGGGGGGGATCCTGCCCCTGTGCCCCCCCAGGTGAGACCCCCCTGCAGAGCTGCCCCAGCCCTGGGAACAGCAGCAGGAGGACGTGGAGCTGCTGCAGAGAGTCCAGAGGAGGGACATTCCACACAGGGAATGGCTTCCCAGTGCTAGAGGGCAGGGATAGATGGGATATTGGGAAGGGATTCCTGGCTGGGAGGGTGGGGAGGCCCTGGCACAGGTTGTCCAGAGCAGCTGTGGCTGCTCCATCCCTGGAAGTGCCAAATCCAGCACGAAAACACCAAATACAGGCTGGTGTCTTTCAAATGGTCCTTCATTCAAGCCATGTGTGCTCACACCTTCCCGACTTTCCCTGGAGCAGCCCAGGATGGACATCAGCTGGGAGCTGGACCGTGCTGAGCTCGGCCATCCAGGACTCTGTGGAATTATCCTGCATGGAAGGGGGACTGTCCTGTGGGAAGTTCTTGACAGAGCACGGCCGAGGGAACTTTCTTTGGGAAAGCCCCAAACCTTGACCCAAAGTCCTGCCCAAATCTGCCCTTCTAAGGTGAAGGAATGGGAACCTCTCACTCCCAAGGCTTTGGAGATGTGGCTGAACTGAATGGGAGCAGTTGACTCGTGTCTCCAGGTGTGTTTTTCCCATGGGATGGGGTCTGCTTTTCCCTGCAGGATGAAGATGAGCAGGACAGGTTTGAGCGGATGCAGGAGACCAACCTGCCGGACTGCCCGGGATCCACCCCCTTCTACAGGGCCAAGATGAAGATTGAGCAGCAGGTAACCCCAGCTGGGGCCTCCAGGATCATCCCCTTCCACCCCCTGCCACGGGCAGGGACACCTTCCACTAGCCCAGGGTGCTCCAAGCCCTGTCCAACCTGGAATGGAACCCCCAGAGAGAGCTGGAGAGGGACTGGGGACAAGGGATGGGGGACAGGGCACAGGGAATGGCTTCCCACTGCCAGAGGGCAGGGAGAGATGGGATAGTGGGAAGGAATTCCTGGCTGGGAGGGTGGGGAGGCCCTGGCACAGGGTTGCCCAGAGAAGCTGTGGCTGCCCCTGGATCCCTGGAAGTGTCCAAGGCCAGGTTGGAGCAACCTGGGACAGTGGGAGGTGTCCCTGCCCATGGCAGGGGGGTTGGAATGAGATGATCCTTAAGGTTCCTTCCCACCCAAACTGTTCTGGATTCCATGAAAACATTTCAAAACCAGCTTTTCAGTGCTCAGGAGGATATCCCAGGATTTGTTGTGCCCTCCTTGGAGCCTGCTGGGATCTACCACCAGCAGAGCAATGCTGGTGTGACGGGGACTTTTCCAGCTTTTCCCAGCGCCCCCTGGAAAGGCTGGGAAGGTGTTTGGTTTCATTTTTCAGGTAAAAAGCTTTCAGAGGTGAGAACTGTGCTGTGCAATCCGAGCTGATCCCTTTGTGTTCCCTGTTCCCAGCACACCTTTGACAGGACCATGCTGGCCCTGCAGCAGATGCGCAGGAGAGCCGGGATCCTCAGGGCTGCTGGGAAGAACAAACCCCTCTCCTGCCTGCACAGCACGTAGCAGGCTGGGCTCAGCCTGGATGCCAGCATTCCCTGAGGAATGCCAGCTCCCAGAGTGCCTCCTGCTCGTGTCCACCATCGATCTGTAAGAATAAACACTGGGAAAATCGAAGCATCCAACCTTTGTGCAGGTTGGGACGGTCACTGGGGATCGATCCCGCTGTTTGCACGGGACACGAGCCAGGGAGTTCAAACACCACTGGTTTTCCTGAGCCTCTGGACAACCCAGGCTGCTCCCACCTCCCTCTTTCCTGGTGCTGGAGCCACTGGTCTCCTGGGCTCGTTCCTGTTGGAGCAACAAGTCTTTGCTGGTTGGATGTGCCTGGAGAAGGGAATGAAACAACAAAGGTTAATTTATGGGTAATCATGGAATGGTTTGGATTGGAAAAGCCCTCCAAGATCGAGTCCAACTGTTCCCCCAGCACTGCCCAGGCCACCACTGACCATGTCCCCAAGTGCCACATCCACAGGGCTTTGCAATTCTTCCAGGAATGGGGACTCCACCACTGTGTCAGGGCTGGACAGCCCTTTCCAGGAAGAAATTTTCCCAATATCCAACCTGCCCCTCCCCTGGCACAGCCTGAGGCCGTTCCCTCTCCTGTCCCTGTTCCCTGGGAGCAGAGCCCGACCCCCCCCCGGCTCCCCCCTCCTGTCAGGGAGTTGCAGAGCCAGAAGGTCCCCCCTGAGCCTCCTTTTCTCCAGGCTGAGTCCCCCCAGCTCCCTCCAAATAATTTGGGAAGTTGGAAGTATGTTGGAGCTTCCTTCTATTCCCATAACCACATCTGCTTCCCGGAAGAGTGTCAGAGAGCAGCCCAGAAATCACCTTTCCTTTGGAATTATGTATTTCCAAAGGCTCATAAAGCTGCTGGAAGTTCAACCCAGGCTGGATTTCCCAAGAAAACACTTCCACACACTTGGAGCTGAGCTTTCCTTTGCCCATGCACCCTCCCCTGCTTCCCACCCCATCCCCGTGGGTCCCTGCTGCCCGTGCTGTGCTCCCTGGGGTGCTGGTGTTCCGTGGGTGATCCAGGGGCCTGGTGATCCCTGGGCTGATCCTGGCAATCCCAAAGGTGACACCAGTGAGATCCTGGTGTGGCCCCGGGGAGATCTCAGTGATCCTGGGGGTGATCCCAGGGTGATGCTGAGGAGATCCCAGGAAGATCCTGGTGGTTCCATGAGTGATCCGGGTGTAACCCCAGTGATCCCATGAGTGATCCAGCTGTAGCCCCGGTGATCCCAACAGTCCTGCAGCTCATCTGGGTGTGATCCTGGTCATCTCCCATCTGATCCTGGAGATTCCAGAAGGAGATGCTGGGGATCCAGTGGCGGGTCCTGGTGTGGCTCCGCTGATCCTGGGGGTGATCCCAGTATGATCCCAGTGATCCTGGGGAGATTTTGGCGATCCTGTGGCTGATCCTGCTGTGGTCCAGTTGCCTGTTGTGGTCCTGGTGATCCTGGGGGTGATCCAGGTGTGATCCCGAGGGGATCCTGGTGGTTCAGTGGCTGACCCCAAGGAGATCCCAGTGGTCCTGCTGCTGATCCCAGTGTGGCCCAGGGGATCCTGGGGGGGATCCTGATACATCCTGAGAAAATCCCGTTGGTGCTGCAGGTGATCCCGGCAATTCCATGGCTGATCCCGATGCGATGTTGGTGACACCGTGGCTGATCCTGGTGTGACCCCGGTGATCCCGGGGGTGATCCCAGGGGTGATCCCAATATGGTTCTGAAAACATCCCGGTCCCAGTGTGTGTCCCAGTCCTGGTGCCGGTGTGTGTCTCGGTCCTGGTGTGTGTCCCGGTGTGTGTCCCAGTGTGTATCCTGGTCCCGGTGTTTCCTGGTGTGTCCCGGTGTCGGTCCCGGTGTTTCCCGGTGTGTATCCCGGTCCCGGTGTCGGTCCCGGTGTGTGTCCCGGTGCCGGTGTGTCCCGGTGCCGGTCCCGGTGTCGGTCCCGGTGTGTCCCGGTGTGTATCCCGGTCCCGGTGTCGGTCCCGGTGTGTGTGTCCCAGTGTGTCCTGTATGCCGTGTGCCCAGTGTCGGTCCCAGTCCTGGTGTGTCCCGGTGTGTATCCCGGTCCCGGTGTGTCCCGGTGTGTCCCGGAGCGCGGCGGCCGCAGCGGAGCGGCGGGAGGAGGAGCCGCGGCCGGGGCGGATCGCGGCGGGGCCGGGCCGGGCTGGGCGCGGGTGGCGGGGGGGCCCCGCCGGACCATGTGAGGAGCCCCGACGGGGCGAGCGGGGCCTCCCCGGCCAGGGGGCACTTGCGGAGCCCCGCGCCCGCCCACCCACCATGGGGGATTTCTACGACCCGGAGCACCCCACGCCGGAGTAAGCGCGGGCCCTGCGCGGCCTCGGGCCCGCCGGCGCCGGGCAGCGCCGGCCGCGGGCACCCGGGACGCTGTCCCTTCCCACTGCCCTTCCCGACCCTTCCCCTTCCTCTCCCGCACCCCTTTCCTTCCTTCCCGCTCCCCGTCCCCTTCGCCCCGCTCTCCCTCCGGCCCGGGGTAGGCCGCGCATCCCCGGCCTTGCGTGATGGCCGCGGCCGGGGCGGGCGCGGGGCGGGCGGGCGGATCGGGGCGGCAGCGGCCGCGCCGGGGCCGGCAGGGGCGGGGGGCGGCCGTGTCCCCTCGTTCCTTATGTCCCTCCTTTCCCGGTGTCCCCCCTTTCCCTGTGTCCCCCTTTTCCCTGCCCCTGTGCCTGTCCCTGTCCCGTCCCTGCCCGGGGGAGCGCGGGGGGAGCCGGGCGGAGCGTGCGGACGTGTCCCGGCCTCCCCGCGGGGCCATTTTTCACCACCACCTTTATTATTGTTGTTATTGTTATTAACGTTATTTTTTCCTGCTTAGCGAGCCCCGTCTTGATTTTACGCCTTGAATCCTGCCCGGCCCCGGGCGGCCCCTGCCCTGACCCCATTTTCTGCCAGGAGGAAGGAGCCAGGGAAGGGGGAGCAGTTTAATGGCCGGGAACTCTGGTTCTCCTCTGGATGGGGAATTTCTCCAACCCACCCCCTTTATCCCGCCCGGGCCTCCGGCTTTATCGCCTCTCCCGAGCAAAGTCACTCCTTCCCCGCTGGATTTCTCACCTCCCCCCCCCCGCTCCTTTTTCCTGCCGGTTCTCAACGCTATTTTTACATTTTTAGACTTCCTTGGCGAAGGACTCGGGGGCTCTGTAAACTCTGCCGGCTCTGGAGCAGACACCTGGCACGGAGCACCCCCCGTGCCATGGCGGGATTGCGGGAAAAGCTAAAAATAGTGGGGTTTTTGAGCAAGGACAACGGAGCAAACCTTTCCTGAGCGGGTTCTGGCCGTGCCCACCTGGAGCAGCTGAGGAACAGCTTCCCCTTGTCCCAGTGAAACGCTGCCGGTGGCTGAGCCATCTGAAATGAGTGGGGAATGCAGGATTGGATTCAGGATCCAGGTTGTGTTTTGCTCCTGGGGCAGGAGAACCTGGAGTAAAGCCTGATTTACTTCAGCTTATCCCTGGGGGGGAGTGACTGTCCCCTTCCCGAGGGACCCTCTGGGTCCAAAGGGCTCTCCAGTCGATCCCAGAAGTTTTATCCCAATTTAGGAATCTCACCTTTGAAGTTTGGAGTGCTGGGAGGGATCCTGGCCCTGCAGGCTGTGCCGGCAGGTGGGATTTGGGATCCAAAAGCCTCGGGGTTGTCACACGTTTGTTGTCTGGAGGTGTCCGGTGGTGCCAAGCTGGGCTGCTGGAAGGAGCTGGAGCGGATTCTCTGACGGCTCCCTATGGAATTACTGATGAGTTGTCCTGATTTGGGGTTTCCTCGGGGTGTCAGTTCCGTGCTGGGGCTCAGGGAGTTCCCAGGCGTGTCCTGGTGTTTTTAGGAGTTGTGTTTCCGCGTCCCTGCCGTGGATCCCAGTGTTCCTGGCGTGTCCTTGCCGCCTTCCTTAAGGCTGTGTCTTGGTTTGGGGGTGCTCCAGAGCTTTGCCCTGGGGAAGGGGATTATTTGGGATTATCAGGTCGTTAGAAATGTCCCAGGATGTGTTGGGTGTTTGGGAAGAGTGGAATTAGAGCCCAGCTCCGGTGGCTGTGGGATGTGCTGCCGGAGATTGTGGCTGTCCCTGTCCCTATCCTGTACCTGCTGGATGAGCAGGGATGTGCTTGCTTTGGTTTTTTGGGATGAGTTGCTGTTGTGGCTCAGAGTGTTGGAATTGTGCTGCTGGGAGAGTGTTGGGCAGAGCCTGGTGGTGAGAATAGAGCCTGGGAAATCATTGGGCTCAGCCTTATTTTCCTGGGAATTATTCCCAGGGTTTGGAAAGACCTTCAGGATCATCCAGTCCCACTCCCTGCCACGGGCAGGGACATTCCTACCATCCCAGGATGCTCCAAGCCCCATCCAACCTGGCCTTGGACCCTTCCAGGGATGCTGCTGAGCTGGATTCCGTGCTGGCTGGAGCAGGTGGATGTCATCCATTCCAATGGCTTTTCCTGGAGTTTTCCTGTTGGGAAAGAAACTCTGTCCGGCTTTTCCCTGGTCGGTCGCTCTCCGTGTCCATTGTCATCCAGAGCTTGGATTCCTGAGAACTGCAGCTTCCAGCAGAACCTCCAGTTTGGGCCAACCCCATTCCCAGAGCTTGGAGCCACCACCACACTCCACGTGGAGCTTCTCCTTGGAGCTGCCTGATGCTGACCTGGACCTGCTCAGAATTCCAGACTGGTCTGGGCTGGAAGAGACCTTAAATCCCACCCAGTGCCACCCCCTGCCATGGGCAGGGACACCTTCCACCAGCCCAGCTTGCTCCAACCTGGCCTTGGACACTTCCAGGGCTGGGCAGCCGCGGTTTCTCCGGGAATCCTGTTTTTGGTGGATATTTGATGGATGTTTCTCGGTGCTGTCGTTGCTTCCTTGAAGAAGATTCCGAGATCGTCCCCGTCCGCCTCATCCCGAGCGTGGAGGAACCTCTGGGACAAGTGATGTGTTGGTGATGGCATCTCATGGAGTCGAGAGCTCCAAGGATTTGTTTCCCTCATGTCCTTGTGTTCTGATGGAAAATGGAGACCCTCCCAGCGGGAATTCAGCCCCGCCCTGGGGGAGATGGTTTTCCAGCCGTCCCACCAGTGATACCGGTGGGGCTTGGTGTGTCCATGGGTGGTTTGGAGG